ATAGATAGATCTCTTGGAAAGCTGTGCCTGTGTGATCAGGCAAGCTCCTGATTATTCCCCAGATAGTTTAACCTCATTTGTGAGTCAAATGCAACATTTTGTTCACTTATGCAAATGAACCTTTAAGGCTTCTCAGAGTGAAGTCAAAAACTATTAAACTACCATTGCAGATTGCTGGGTGTATTTCACCTTGCAATACAGACTTCTGTTCCTAATTGAGTTACATTGTCACAATACAGAAATAATCCCCAAGTGAGTTTATATGCGCATTCTTATCAACTACAGAATACTGCAATTCTTCTTTATACTTTACAGCACTAGTCTTGAATTTAACAAGAAAGGAAATAGTGTTTGTATCATATTTTTCTGAATAGGAGCTACCTGTTCACAATAAAAAATAATTTGTAAAAAAACCAAGTACAAAGAATAAGGCTATTCTGTGAGAGATTAACGGATATTTCAGAACTATAATATGGCAAAGAAAGGATTAGAAAATTATTTCTGATGTAGAAAAGATTGCACCTACTTTTATTCATGACACTTCTAAATTCTTCCAAGGTTTTCAAGATGTTCCGGATTGTGGGATTGCGTATTTGCATTTGGTATTCTGCTCAGCTTGTGTTCCAGAACACCTCTATGCATTTCTTCAGGAGAATGAGCTATAAGCTGTTCAATATGCACAAGCTTCTTTTCATGATGAAGCTGCTTCATTTAAATATTTACTATTATACCTCCTCTTGTGGAGGCAGTCCCCATACTAGATCACCCACCGCTTCCTTATTAAAGTCTGTTCTACACTGATGACATCAGAACTTGGCCAAATGTTACAAAACCTATAAAATTGAACAAATTGAAACTTACTAATATGCCCTGTAAATTGAATAAAATACCTTTTCTTTATGAAATTTAACCATTCTAAAAGTTTGTAGGCTATATATGCCACAAACTTACTTTCAGATAGCACACACCAAACATAAATATTGCAAAACAATCGCAGCACTTTTTGACTATGCATTTGTGCATTACAGAATTTATATTTAGAATATATCAGAGATAAAGCACTTGTTTTGGTGCCAACTGGCAATTTGGCGGGTTTATTGTTTTACAAAGACCAAGAAATACAAACACATAACCCTCCCCCCAAACTGTATTCATGTTAGTATTATGATGTAAACACCAAGACAAGAAGGACTGATGAAGCTTGAGATTATGCTGAATGAACTTCTTATGCAAGCTAAACCCTCGTTTTCAATAAAACCTGAATATATTAAACCATGTTCTATAAATGGCTATCATTACATTTCTCTTTACTCTGTACAATATTAAATGATACATACTCTCGCCTATTAGCTTGTTGTTACACAAATGTTGCTAGAGTGATATATTTCTTAGAATATTTGTACTGTCTCAAGTCAGAGATGTTTCTTTGATAGCAAAGAAGTCACACAGACTTCCCCACACCCCATACTATAGTCCACAACCCCACCGAGACCTTCCTAAAAGAGAATCAAAGTAACAAATTAGAGCATCTGAGACACAATAGCTGTTTCTTTTTTCCTTTAAATGTTTATCCATAAATTTATAGAGTAACTTTAAGAAATATTTCCCTTCACATAAAATATTACCTGAAGATGAGTCTCCAGTCTTCTCTGCAGAACAAGGACTGCAGGGCCACTCTACCGTAACACTGCATCAGACAAGCTGTTGATTAAAATAGTAAACAGAAACATTCCTTCACAAAGCTAGGACAAGGTCTAAGCTCAAGTAATTGATAACTGAGAAGCAGTCCAGCTGCTGCACAGCAAGTCTTTATAAACTCAGTTACAGAGTTGCACAAATTCTGCATAAATATGAGTGTTCCCTTGTATCTCCTCAAAAGAGTCGGGGAGATTTGTAGAAAGGCCTAGTTTTGTACATTAAACCAGACATCAAAGCCCTCTCCTAAAGCAGCACCTCCATCTCGTAAGAGTGAGCCTTAGGGAAGGAAGAAAAAAACCTGGTGATTATTTTCTCCTTCCAACAAAATCTCTGACAACTTTTCAGCATTGGAGTCTTCTAAAGACTTTCCTTTAGGAAAGTCACATAGTGTTTTAAAAAAGATTTTGTCAGAAGAGAACACTGCATAAGGAGGATTCACCATACAGAATAAGGGCTTTCACATGGAGCTCCAACAAGGGTTAACAACCAGCATAAAAGACGCTTCCAAACAAAAGTATCCAGACATCAAGACACCACAGGCAATTACACATTTTAAAATCAAATTTATATTTTTAGTTATAAAATGTATTGTTTTGATAAATCAGCCCACCATTAAACAGCACTTTGTTAAGACAGATACAGTAACATTTTTTCCAGACACATTGAGAAAGTTAAGCTTAGAGAGTAGGCAACTTTTTTAAAACCCAATCAAGTATTTCCTCTTAATCTATTCAGAAGACCTTTACAATTTCAAACTGAACTTTCAGTCTCTCCATACAGTTAAGGAAGAACTTTAGCATTAGAAGTTGATTTACCATTAAATACTATTTCTGATGCCAACCGAATACATTTATTAAAAATGTAGTGCATTTGAAGAGATACAACTCATACAAATTCTACACATAATTCAAATAGTCCCCTCTGCTTCCTCCCAGCACAAAATTACTTCTCAGCTTATAAAGATACAAAAACATGAATAAAACAAACACAGACATGAACTGCACAGGAACTGTGATGACAAGTTACAATTAGCAAGTATGGCACATAAAAGAGCATATTTTGTAATAAGCTAGTGGGCCAGAAATGGAAGGACATCAGTCAAGCATGATTTATTAAAATCTAGCTCCTTCCTACTGCCAGCTTGGTAATACTAAGAGTAACTCTTCTTCAGTCAGCTAAGATAACTGGCCCTCTGAGGTCACTTCTTACCATAAAATTTACGGGTGTGAGAGTTGAGTTAGGCAGTTTCCACTCCTATGCATCATCACACTTTTGAAGTGCTGCAGTGACCACAACGATCAAGACAAAAGCAGAATACAACAGTACTATTCTGGCTTCCCAGCTTTCCATAGTCCAGATGAGGGCATGTCCTTTGAAGCTAGCAATGAACACGACTTGCTGCATCCAGCAAGTGTTCAGGTCGCCAGGCCATCAGCTATGCCCATAAGGGCTGGAAAACCAGAACGGATCACCTTTGGGACAGCTATGCCAGGGTTAGTAGCAAACACACTTAACATAGGCTGACTATCCAGTAAGGTAATTTAGATCAGACACCTTTCACTGCAGGTGAACCTAATTCGAATTGCTCTGCTGAAACACAGGCAGGCATGCATGCATAGAGTTATCACAGAGAAGCTGACAAATGGCAACTTTTAAAGAACTTAAATTTGTTCGTACAGTCAAGCCAACAGGCATGAGTTTTCCTGATGACAGTTCAAAGAACATCCCAAAAGGATATAGATATATTAATTTTTTAACACACCTGCATTACAGCACCACCAAATTAGTAACTCTGATCTCAACCTTTACAAAGGTACCTCTGTTAACATGTTTACATGCTTCTTCCATCAAAAGAAAAAAAAAAAAAAGAGAGAGACTGATGATAGCTGGGATCAGTACCACCCACAGGTCAATAAACAAAACTCCTTTCATCCAGGAAGACAGAATATAACTTGGGTGTCCAGCAAAAGTTTCACATGGAATTCAAAGGGATCTCCATAATGAACAGTAGACGAAAACTAAAAGTTTCATTTTCAGGTCACACTTGTAAATATCTAGGAGACCGATGTACGTATTTCAATACCTTTTCAGCATTTCACAACACTAAGTTTTTATAGGGAACGTAGCAGGCACTTAGTGATTTTAATTTAACATTTACCATTTAATTATCCCAACGTTTTGCATTTCTGCTTCTTTCTCCGAGGAAGAAAGTTTTATTCCCGCTTTTCTTCCCCCTCTCGAAGCTGCTCTTTCTGGTCTGAGGAAGACTACATCGCTTCCAACGCGCTTACTGCTCTGAACGCAGCGAGTGCCACCTTTCGGTGAAGAAAACGCCCGCCGCAGCTCAGCTGCGTGCCCGCCACTTGCGGCACCACAAAACCACACCCCCCCCCCGGGGAACACCCCTCTGTCGGCCCGGCCCGGCCGCCCTCACAGGCGGGAGAGTCCCGGGGCCCCGACGCCTCGCCGGGGAGAGGGCGCTGCCCTTGCGGACGCCTCCACGGACGGACGGGACAGCTCCTCGCCGCTCCCGCGGAGAGAGGGACTTCCCTCGGCCCCCTCCCGCAACTACCGCCTCCTCCTCCGCAGACACCTACCGAGGGGGCACCTGCTGCCGCGCC